ATTCAAAGCTATACATAAAGCAAACTACTGTATTGGCTTTGGCGCTTATTGCCAGAGTTAGCAAAGACAGCCATGTTGTACGTGGGCTTGGAGTCGTAAACTATATTTACCACTGTTTTTATGTAAGCAAAACATGAAACATGTGCTGCCCCTTCATCAGAAAGTAGTAAAATTGTGCCTTTGTTGAGTGTAATCAGATCTGCATTTTGCCTCAATAGTGGTATGATGATACTTTAGTGGTATAATCATTTGCAATAAATGAGTAAATAGCAACTTAAACATGTGTTGTGAAATGTGTGAACTGCTGGAATTTTTTCTTTAATCCGTATGTGTGTGAGTCTAGTGTTGTTGTGAAATATTTAAAGTGAAATCTAATTTCTCCTGAATTTTCATAGAATTTAAACACCCATCCTTGGTGTTAAGTGTAACACAGCGCTGCCATGTGCTTGTTTTATTTACTCTGCTAGATATTCTCAGGTATGGTCAAGTCGTATTTTTTTAACATTGCAGTAATCCACATTGGTTTTCTATGAACATATGAATCATTCTACCTCTGGTGTGAACTTAAAGTGCAAAAAACACATGCAAGACATTTAAAATGTCCTACATCTACAACAAAAATGACTAAATCTAATCTTAAAACATTTTTTGTGTTTTATTATATGTTCTATATGTTGTAAATACAAAATACATTCCGTCGACATATTTGGTTACTGTAATCACTTCCTTACTATCGTTCTGTGAGTTTCTATGGCTGTTGCCAGTTATGGATCAGCACCAGAAGATTTTAGATAACAAGCAAAGATGACACAGTAATTCAGTTCAATTCAAGTTTATTTATGTAGCACCAAATAACGACAGGAGTCTTCTAAAGGCACTTCACATAGTAAACATTTTAATACAGTTCAGTTCATCAAGCCAATCAGTAAAAAGTTTCCTATATAAGGAACCTAGCATGTTGCATCGAGTCATTGACTAGTGTCAGAGTCTTTACAGCAATCCTCATACTAAGCAAGCATGTAGCGACTGTGGAGAGGAAAACCCTTTTAACGGGAAGCTACCTGCAGAGGATCCTGGCTCAGTATAAGCAGCCATCCACCATGACTCACTGAAGATTGAGAAGTCAGAGCAGACACACAGTGATGTGATATCTGGTATTGGTACTCTTGGGTGTTTTACATTAGGGAACACTTATTACACATCCATCCATCCATCCATCCATCCATCCATTTTTGTCCACTTATCTAGGGTCGGGTCGAGGATGCAGTGGCCCCTAGCAGAGAGGCCCAGACTTCCCTTTCCCCAGCCACTTGAGCCAGCTTCCCCGGAGGAATCCTAAGGCGTCCCTGGCCAACCGAGAGACATCTTACAGATTGTCCCTCCAGCACGTACTGGTTCTTCCTTTAGGTCTTCTTGTTGTTGGACGTGCCAAATCTCACCAGTGAGATGTCCAGGAGGCATCCTGACTGAATGCCCAAGCCACCTCCACTGGTTCCTCTCAATGTGGAAGAGCAGCGAGTCTACTCTGAGCCCCTCCCGGATGACCAAGCTTCTCAACCTATCCCTAAGTGAGAGTCCAGACACCCGGTGGAGAAAACTAATGTCGGCCACTTGTAGCCGCAATTTTGTTCATTTGGTCACTAACCAGAGCTCCTGACCTTAGGTGAGGGTAGGAACGTAGATCCACCAGTAAATCGAAAGCTTTGCCCTACGGGTCAGTTCTTTCTCTTTACCACAATCGAGCTGTACAACGCCCGCATCACTACAAACGTAGCATCAATCTGTCTGTCAATCTCGCTCTCCATTTTCCCTCACTCGTGAACTAGAGATATATAAACTACTCCACTTGGGGCAGGACCTCATCCCTGACCGGGATAAGGCATCCTACCCTTTCCCGACTCAAGACCATGGTCTCGAATTTGAACAACCTGAGTACACTTATTACAGTAATAATTGTTAGCCCTCTTCCAGTAAGCTTGATGTTATAGTTCTGAACGACTCATTAAAAGAAGTAAAAGGCCACAATTGACTCATTAATCACTTCACACATACATTACACTGTAATATCGAGTTGTTGGTCATTGAAACAGTAGCTTGAGATATTTTTAGAACCAACTATTTGTTTCTAACCGCTTATTTCTATGGAAAACATTGCAGAATTGCTGGGAAATGTACTAAGCGGCAAATAGCCACTGTTATAGTAGATGAGTTGCTTTCCACCGGCAGCAAAGTGTGATGTTTTGTTTGCGCCCCAGAAGCGAGGGCACAATATCATTACGTTTCGAGTCAGTTTTCACAGCCGGTGGAAGCCAGGGTAAGTCACCGTTAGCATTGTTAGCTTAATGTTAGCCTCTAGACAGCTTCACCCAATATAAAACAAATGGATGCTGTGGCTTCTTAAGGGACAGCAAATAACATCTGGTTCGCTCCTGTTTACTGTTTACTTTTTGCCTGCCAGTGTTGAATTACAAATGCCGACACAGCAATTAGCTCACCGGGGAAATGGCAGCCTCATAAACTGTCAGCGAAGTGTCAACAGTAACTACCCTCTTTTTTGTGTGTTTTTTTTTCTTGAAAGGAGAAAAACTGACAACCCTCCAGTTGGTTGAGAAGAAAATCTCTTTCAATGTAACCTTTCAGGCAAAAAGATTGAGGCATTGGACAATTTAATGATTATTTCACTGTAATATTCTTACATATTGTACCTTAAATATTCAAAGGACATAAAAACTGACTATTAGCCATGTTTTTCTTTGTCTGAGAATTGGGTCAGTTTGACTTAGCAACAAAGAGACACAAATGTCTTCAACACACAATCTTGCCGTCCATTTCATCCATAAACATCCTGCTGTCTTTATCTGAAAAAGTATTTTACCAGGAAACACAGACCACTGAATATTCTACCCAAATCGGTTAAAAGCAACATCGTCAACAAAGACCTATCACAGTCACTTCTAAAGCAGCCACCCATAGCCAGAGCAGTAATTCATTTATACTAATAGGTCCCCCTGCTCACCTGTTTAGCCAGCAGCTTATACAATGCTGCCACACTGCCACTTGTTCTGACCTTGATGCAAGCAGTGAATTTTCATGATCCGATTTTCATCAGCCACCCTGATGGTGTCCTTGCCATTTAGGCACCTCAGGCTCATTTCCAGATTTGGTGAAATTGATGTCACTTTTCTTTACAAGGGAGTTGATATTGAGAGGATCATTATCTCTCCCCAACTATGGATGCATATGTGCTTTCATAAATAATCCCTAAAAAATAGACAAAAATGCTTGAAGGCCAACCAACCCCCTCCCATGCGGCCATGATTGTGGCAGCTCAAGTACACACTGGCACAAATTGGTGGCGATGTTTACAGCTGCTTATACAGTGTAAATGGTGTTGTCTTGGAGTGTTAAATAGCTATTTACATACCATCTTAACTGGTTTTGTTGTGTCTTAATTCCCTAGATTTGGAATTTTAAAAAGACTCTGCATGATTTTTGGTTCATACTGGTGTATAATAAGATTATTTTCAAAGTTTTATTTTGCTGTTAGTCTCTCTACAGGATTATCAAAGATACCTGCAGAGCTTAAAACACAACAAACTGTTTTGTTAGAGAGGGAAAACAAATAATCAGCCAGTGCTCTTGCTGAGGTGGCAAACCATTTAATCAACCTTGGCTGCCGCTGACTGCTGTTAACCATGGTATGCATCGACTGCTGATAGTAGTCGGGTGTCATTACAACCTGCGGGGGCCTCTACATCCTGAACCACAGCGCTAATTTATGCTGTCTTATTCTTCCCTTTGCAAACTTTACCGTACAGAGAAATTGTCCCATTGCAAATTGAATCTCCCAGAACTGGATTTGTGTTATCTGAGCTCCCTGGATATGTGACTGGCGTCCATTAAACCCGCCAACGTAAAACTGACCTTCATTAAATATTGTTTTGCTCTCGTTTCATACAACAATTAGGATCGTTTGTCACTTCTGTCATTGTGATTGTATCTCGGCACCGGGCGGAAACGACAGCGATCCCAAATTACATTTTAGTGAAGTTCCAAATTGTGTGTGTCTGTGAGAAAGTGCTCTTTCATCCATTTAGAGGGGGCTACGGAAGGCTGGCCTCTTTGCAGCCACAGACTATAATTAGATCATGACATACAGAAATGTTGCCACTGTGTTTTGAAGCATCACCATGCAAAAATAGCTCTGCAAATTTAATATAGTTGAAATAAGAAGGTTAAATTGCATATGTTTTTATAGAAAAAAGTTGTTTTTTTCCTACTCATTGAAGATATATTACGAGTTTCGCCCACTTGTGCCTTTTTTGGCCCTTTGTGGCTTTACTGAGTTCACACATTCATGAAACCTTTACAACTAAATTAATCTGGGACCCAATCTGAGATACAACAGAGGGATAATAAGACACATATGTGGAATGATTGATGACAGGGACTCAAGGAGCTGCAGTGAAAAGAGAGCATTCGCTGGACTAGAATATAGGCACATCTCATAGTTTATGTTCTGGTTTTTCCCTGAGAGCTCAGGTAAACAGTGTCATTAACAAACAGCTCCTGGAGTGTAACCACAGGGAGGATTCCATTTTATCCTCACTGACCCAAAAAAAGTGGGTACTTAAAAAAATATATAACCATTGACTCGCAGAGAAATGTTCTCATCAACACCTCCTTTTAGAATACACAGCAGGGCGTTTGCGTGCTCTGGAGAGTGTATGTTAGTTCAGCCAGCAGGGGTCTCAAACCCTAGGCACCATGCTTGTCCACTTTAGTCACACCTGCCGGCTTCAACTGATCCTCTTTGAACTATCTTCTCCTAAACTGACACATGGAAAATAAGGAAAAATAGAGCTCAAAAGGGTACACAGCTATTTTTTCAGCAGCACCAGATACAAAAATAAGGTCCACTTATGATTGCTGATGATTCCTCTCCAGTCTTACAATTTTCTACATGTTGACTTTATTTGTTCCCCTTCTTCTCTTATCAGAAACATCCTCATCTATAATGGTATACATGGATGCTACAACCTCCACAACAAGGACCACTACTCGTCCATCAACTGTTACCCTAACATCGACAACAACCAGGATAACCACTACCAGGATGCCTGCCACAACAGCTGCAATGGCCCAGTGGCCACGTGCCACATCAACCATGGTGTCCCCGGTTCAGACGCTCGTGGAGGCTTTGTTGCCAGATGACAGCGATGAAGCATCACCTTCCTCCAAGCTCCCCAACATCAAGGTGGAATACTGCAATCCTCTGGTGGTGATGGACATCTCCTGGCCCAAGACCAAGCAGGGCACAGTGGCCAAAATGCCATGTCCACCTGGAACCATAGGTATGGAGAATTCTTTGTTGGGCTTTTGAAAGCAGCTTGTTATACTTATTGGAGCTCTATTTAAATTCAGATGATGAAATTCACACATTTTTATAACTTTGGGCAAAAATTACTAATCTTAAGAATTTTAAAACAAGTATTCCACAATGTAACGGGTCAGTCAAGATTTGATCTATGTTCCAACCCTCTCTGAGGGTCATGAACTTTGGCCATGCTTAAAAGTTAAAAACTATCGCATCATGACAAAAAAGGTAATGGGATTACAAGCGAAGTGGTCACAATTTGGATGGAAAAAACTGTGATACATGGTTAAATTTATAGTGTTTAAAAACAACGCTGCTGTTAAAAATGTAATAACAACTAGTGTCTGGTCAATTAGCTGACTGACATGGTAACATTCAAAGGGTTTTCACAATGTCTGTTTCAAAAGAAAATTCACCTAGGACTCAGACAATGGCTACTGGTAAAGTTCCCATAAACTAGATTTTGTAATTGACCCTTTGCATGTAACTTTTTAGGACCGCTCCCTTCACCATGATGGAATACAGAAAGGTAGTTTCCACATGTTAAAACTGTGGTGAAGCCAGTCAAAATTAGCCAGTTTGTTGCCTTTTATCGCTTTTATTTAGTTGATTTTAAAGTAAAATAGCTTGCTGCACGATTGGCAGCAACAGACAAGGGTGTCGACTCAACTTGATTTTTTTAAATAACTTTGGTGGAGACTGGGGACGGAGTTTAACCACAGCGATCAATCAAACAGACTAGCAGCCTTCAGAGTAATTTAGTATTTGCAGCAAACACGTTGTACCGGGTAAGACTAACGTATATTCCTCACATATTTCATCAGGAAGACCGGGACTGACTGTGACAGACCTGAAGTGATAAATGTTGTGTGTTTATACCACTTATTGGTAATCGTAATGGATGATGGGTTGGATGGATGGATTTTTCTCCATGCAAGATAATTATTTACAGTAATATTGTTCCAATGTAGGATTACGTGTGTTAAAATTACGTTATTTAATTAGCATGATGAGCGTTGCCATTATAAGATATCTTGTCTCATCTTGGTGTTAGAGCAGCAGCTGAACCCGGTGACCTCACCAGCGACAAAAACTGGTAGGGATCCGGACTTTTCTTTAGTCTTTTGATCATCTGCAGTGTAAAGTGAAACGCTGTTCATCAGCGGCGTGAATTCTGGCAAAGTCGGAACTTATTTACATCGGTGAACAGCAGAAGGGCAAAAGTAAGCTAATGTCCCTAAGCTAAAGTTCATCAGCTAGCTAAAGCTAAACTTTTGTAAACACCACTCCACCTAGGCGTGCTAAATCTACCCACACGTGAACTGGGCTTGAGCTAGTCTAGTCCACCATACACACAAATACATCCTTTTTCTAAATAAAGAACTTAAGTGCCTCTATTTGCTCTTGACTCAAAGAAAAGCCCAAGGTTTAAGTGTCCAGAGTTGTTGCCACAGCTGTCGCAAACAAGCCTCCGCCATCTTTGTTGTTCCGCTCCGTCGCATCATTCCTCCCTCCAAACCGATAGAGTGGTGTGATTGGCAAGCCACAGGACTGTTTGTGCTTGCTGAGGCTCTAACGGAGCATGGCTAGAACAACAATAATAATAATAATAATGTAACTTGAGTCTAATCTTTATGTTGTTACAGAATCCTAAGATTCATAAATAATCATCCTCTGTGGAAAGCCGAGGAACTCTGCTTATAAATCTTATATGTTGTTTCTCTACTTCCTGCCTGTGAAGATGTCAATAATCTCCTTAGGAGACCTGGTTTGCTGTGAGTCTCTTCTCCTCCATGTTGGTTGCTTGTGTTTTGTTTATGTTTACACTCCCCCTGCAGAAATCGTTCTCTCTCTTCCTGTCTTCCCTCCTCACTCTTTATTACTGACTCACTGATGCGACACTAAAGATAGCACAGTATTATATTTGTACGGAAGCACACCACACACCCATATTTATAGTCTGTTATGACATAGTTGTGATTAATCCTGTGCTCTTTAAAAGCTTTTTTTGGGTGTTTTTTCTTTTTTATCAGACTCTTATTTTTGTGTTTTGTTCCATCTGTCTTTGTATCAATTCTAATAGAATGAAGTTAAGTGTGATGTAAGATAAAATCAATTTTGGCCACTTTGGATGAAAAGGCTTTTCTTTAGAGCACCTGAGAGCCTGTCCAAGAGTGCAGTTCATGTTTTATTGGTTCAATTTTAACAGAAATATGGAGCATAATCACTGCCAGAAGATGACCTCTAAACCCTGTTATTACAGGTTTCTAACATCAACCAGGATTCATGAAGATTTAGAGCCAGTCCCTGTCGATGGGAATATTTCAAAAAGCTAAGATAATTAAAATGATAAATTTGGTACCAAAACTGGTCAAAAATACACTTTTTCTAAGTTTTTAGTCAATAATCCATGAAGAACTGTTGGTCATTTTAAAAATTATTTCTTTAAACATAATCTGTCATATAGCAGCGGCAAAAGTTCAGTGGTTGGGCTCTACTATAATAAATGTTTTTGCTCGTCTATGTCGTGCGTTAAAGGAACTTCAGTAAATTGAAGCCACGTTTATCACCTCCATGAGTGATTTCTCGTCCTGTGGGATGAATTGGAATGAAATGTGGACACAGTTTTAAAATCAACATCTAACAGTGTTGACAATTTCTTTTCCTGGTGGTTATTTCAAGCTAGGCAGATGTAATGTGTGTTTCCCTCAGATTATTTTGCAGCTTTCTAAGTTTGAATCAGGTACGCTACACAGGCTCCAAATTATGGAATATTTTTATTTTTTTATCCATGTCTGGGTAATAGGAAAAAAAAAAGAGAGATTAGTGTGAATAAAAACTTGTGTTTCCTGGTTTTACCTCTGCACAATGTTTTTCTTATCTTTTTTCCTTTGTTCAATCTCTTCCATCACTCTTATTTTAGAAATACATGTGGAATAATTAGAAAAATAGCTCAGTGTATGAAAACTCCCAAACAAGTAAACATAAGCCATAAAAGAGCCAAGCATTTATCACCAATGCAAACTGTACAGTATACCACTAGTCCGTCGCAGATTACCCAGCATTAAAAGATGGTTCTTTCTCCCTACTAAATGGTGAAGTGTATTTACAAAACCAACATGTTTAATCAAAGAAAACTTCACTCGTGTGATTGACACTTTGTTAAAGGGGACATATTTAGCTAAACTAATCTTTTGCAATATTTTCTGCGGCCATGTGGGTCCGTACTTCTTTTATAAACACCCCAAACTTGAAGAAAAAATACCCCATCCATCTGTTTTGATCAGTTTTAGGAATTACGTGCCTCAAACAAGCTGTTTCAAAAAGTCCCCGTTTGGGACATCACTTAAAGGAAAGTAAGTACGTGTAAAAGAACGCTGCTGCTGGAGAAGCAGTGGCTCTACTCCGAGCCTCTCCTGGATATCAGAGCATCTATGCTTATAGCAGCCCGAGTGGGGGATGGGTGGGCGCGACTAGGTAGTGTTTAGATCCAGGTAGTGTAGAAGGTATTAAAGGTGTGGTACCCTGACAGATCTCTGTCACACCTTCACTCAACATTCATAGACTCATCCATCTTTACTCGTGACGGGGAAGGCTGTTGTTGGTTTAGCGTCCAGGAAACAGCAGAAAACACCTCGGCTTATTGAAGGTAACCATTAGCATTAGCAACTCCACCACACAGCAGAACTTCTTCAGGCTTGAGTTATTTGTGGGGATAAAACATTAATGGTGCAGAGCAATCAGTCAGTGGTAGTTGTGTTGTTGTTATCCAATCAGAGGCGAAATGTCCAAATACCAGCAAATAACACTCCAAATCCTGCCGTGTTCACCTCACCTCTGATGTGGAATTCTGCTAGTTCCAGAAACAAGCGCATCTGAGCTTTTTCTCCCCAGAGTAGGCCTTCCAAGGCATTCATTCCTACTAGAGACCACTGCAAATGTATTGATTAAACAAGTGTTCAACACATTTAAAGGTGTGTGTTCTACAGTACAGTATATAAAACATGTTGGTAGATCGCAGAGGCTGTTTATAGCCTCCAAGTCAGGAGATTAGGTGACACCTGTTCTAGTAAATATAATCTGCATTCGTTCTGAGAAGGCATTGCACCAGCCGCCTCAAAATTCAGCGTGAAGCTCACAGAGGGAGACACACACATACATGCAAGTTTTCATTAACGGGCAACGCCAGCACCCATCGAGACCTCACTAACAGCCATCACATGGCTAGATAAGAAGAACCCAAACCCCAACTTTCGCTCAGCGCACGCTTCAAAGCTGGCGCACTTCACACAACACTGTCAAGCAGAACACGACCGTGTGAGCTTCCTCTGCCACTCTGAAACTTTCTCGAGCTTCCCTTCCATCTACCTGTTTTTCCCCTCGCTGTCATTCTGTCCCCCTCCCAACCGACTCTGGCTCCCCTCCTTCTTTTTTCCTACCTCTCTCTTTTCATGCTCCCTCGGTCCTGTCTCTCAGTATAGGAGGATATGCAGAGTCACTTATCTTCTAAGCCCATCAAACATAATGCTGTCTAAGGTGGACTGGGAAAGGAAATTATATGTCAGTCAAAATTCATATCTGTTAATGCAGGCTGTGTCAACCACCAACAAACACCCCCACCCTCTACAAACACGGAAGGGCAGTTTAATGTTGGTGTGTAGCATTGCTGATGTCAGCAGGGAAAATAAAAGCAAGTAGCTTGAAGTGTTTATCAAATTCAAAACAGAGCAACTTAAAGTCCCATAGATTTGTACGTGTAAGTGTATTCTGTCCAACACTGATTCACCAGAACAGATCTCTGTTTTCTCGCAACATCTTAATTGACCTTTCCTGATTCTGAATTCTGCCACAGCACACTTGATTGAAACCTATTTTGTTGTACATTCTTCCTAATGCAAGACTGGAGCTGCCACGGGTGCAGACAGGTTCCGACTTTTAATCATTAAATGCAGACGGAGTCCAACAGGCTTCAAACGGACCAACTTTAATTTAGTCAGTTTACGATAAAACCATTCAATTACATTTAGCAAATCCCATTAATTGCATCGCCGAAGAATTTAGTTTCTTAAGCAAAAAGAAGAAAGGGGCCTGACATCGACAAGAACTGGGCACCAGTTGATGAGCCTGAAAGTATTTTGAATTGCATCGTTCTGTAATGAGAAAAAGAGTGAGAAAAATTGGAAAATGTGGATAAGCTCAAGAAAAAGGAATAGCTAAAAAATACATGAAAAATACACCCTTTTCTTTTTTTTCACCACAAAAAAAGTAAATGTGCTTACAGGAACATTTTTGATTTCTCTTTAGGTGTGGCTTCATATATGTGTCTGGGACCAGAAGGGTTCTGGGACCTAATGGGACCCGACTTCAGCAACTGTACTTCCCCTTGGGTCAACATCATCAGCCAGAAGGTAATGATTGCGAGGCCATCGTCCAGTTCACTCCTTCCCCTTACTTAATTCTACCTCTGAGATTCACACAAGGAAAGGTGTCCCTGTCCTTTTTTGATAGTCAGTAATGGTGCACAGAATATGTCAACATCAACAGATATTTTAGACCAGCAGCACAGGAGCTACAACCAGTGCTGTAGCCAACAGAGACTGCAAACCACCACAATACACAACATAATTTGGTCAATCCCCGTTCTCATTTAAAGGACCTCAGATCTGGAACAATCTACCATCAACAATAAAATTGTTAACACACTTTACAACTTTTAACTCTCAGGTGAAAAAATGGCTGAAACAAAAACAAACTTGTAAACACTGATGTTTCTTAGTCAAACTAATTTATCTAAATTGATTGTGTGTGTGTGTGTGTGTGTGTGTGTGTGTGTGTGTGTGTGTGTGTGTGTGTGTGTGTGTGTGTGTGTGTGTGTGTGAGAGAGAGAGAGAGAGAGAGAGAGAGAGAGAGAGAGAGAGAGAGAGAGAGAGAGAGAGAGAGAGAGAGAGAGAGAGAGAGAGAGAGAGAGAGAGATGACAAATGTTATAAATACTGTTATTTGATTTTATCTAAAAGTCCAACCAAGGACTAGGTTTGCAAATTAGCCTATGGCTAGAAAGCCTCTGTACAAAACAACGGTTGCATCGCCATTACATGTAACATTGTCCTTTGTGCTGTCCTTGTTCAATAAACCAAATACAATACAATACAAACGTTCCTTTTTTTCATAAGGAAATGTGCGGAAGGAAAACATTTTTAAGTAGCATTGTTATAGAAGACAAAAAATTGCAAATAGAAACCAAACTCCACTAGTCTCTGCTAATGTTAGCACTGATAGCCATGCTACAGGAAGTTAGCATTTAGGATTTTGCTTTATTGTTCCCAAAAGTAAGGAAATCCCAGAGATGTATTAAGAAAGTTTAAATTAGCAATTGTTTCAACATTAAGGATATAACTTTTGATTAACACGATGATTTTTGCCATGCATTTATGAGGGTTTCATGCAGTTTTAGTATCACCCCTTCTTTCCATCGGCCATGAAAGTGGTCACTTAACATGATAGCAGCATTTACCCACAAGCTCATTCCCAACCGGGAGCCATTTTTATGCAAAAGCGTTCCACACAGCATATCTCGTGATGTGACAAAATCACGGGAGAATTAAACACTACGTGTGATTTTAGAAGTCCACACATAGTAATAAGCAAGGACAAAGACAGCTGCATGTTTACATCGGGTATGAGGGTTTTAACCGGAAATGACATACCTGCATGGGACATTTATTTTTGAAAGTTTCCGGATGTCTCACACGTCTTTTGTTTGATTTCCTGTCTGGCGTGATCTTAACTGCAGAGTTTGATGTGTTTTGGAAGTGTAGCACATAAATAAATAGACTTGACACGTAATGATAGTGTCCCCTCTCTTTGTGGCCAGTGGAAAGGAACTCATCTGTTTTAACGGCGGGTGATTGTCACGTAGTACGTTTTGCCACCATTCCTAGATGCTTTCACATCCAGTGGAAAGAACGGAATAGAAGAGAGTGCTGCTTTTTATTGACACTAATCGCACTTTGATTAGGAATCTCGGTAGTCATTGAAATTTTGAAAAGTCAAATGAAATAACACAAAACTGTTGGTTTCTGCACAGAGTATGCAGGTTTTATACATCCTGTAGAATCCTGGTGAAGGCTCTCACTCATCCAAGACACAGCAATCCTAATAACTAAAAAATACATGAATATAGACAAATGGAGTGTTTTATTTTCTTGTAAACTATTTACTTATCATCAGACAAGCTTTCTCATTTTAAACATGAAAATACCAAGGGTGACAAGCTTTAAAGCTGTTGTGGCGAATCTACAAAACTAGCTGGGTTTTGAACGCAAACACGGTCACGGAACACTCACCCCTCCCTTTCGGCGTCTGTAGTGAGATGCTTCTGCCGCAACTGGATACCCACATTGCCAGAGTAAACGAGATAGTGCTAAACACCAGTCGCCATTTTTTAGGTCCAAACATCTTTTGTTGTCCATGTCTGCAAATTATGTTTTTCTTTTTGGGACTCTCGGAGTTTGTCCTAAAGTTGAAATAGTAGCAGCCGGCTGTTTCTCTGATACTATTGAGTGGAGAACCTCTCACACCAGTGGTGTTCTGTTGCTAAATACGCGAGTGTTCAGTGAGTGGAGGACACAGGGAAGTACGGCAGTTCAGCGAGACCAACAACTGGATGGTACAATGGTTGCTTTTGTTCTGAAACGCGTTACTGGTGGAGGTTTTTAGACAAATGCAGAAGAACCACTTTTTTTAATCATTATTTTAATCTCCACAATATATTTATAGCTATACTATGTTAGAACATTGTTCAAAAGGCATGAAAAAATGTTTAAAGCCCTTTAGTTTTCCAAATTTACCATTGCAGCTTTAAGGCAATTGACTTTGTCATTGTCATATCTTTGTTGTTGTCCTAATCCACATCATGCAAGATAAAAATCCCCATACTGTGCAAATCAATCTGATGAAAAGTTTAAGCAAAGCATAAATCAAACCATGTAATAAAAAAACTAAACTGGGAAGGGAGTCGTAAGATTTCAAAATTCCACCTTAAATACACTCTTTCCACGTGGACCAGGACGACAAATTCCCTAACGGCCCAAAAAGGGAGGATCAGTTGTTTTTTTTGTAAACTATGGCTTGCATTAGTGAAGCTCGTACTACAGTTTAAAAGCTTGGCACTCTTTAAGATTAAATTGAGAAAGCGCCCTAGATCAAGAAATTAAATAACTGCAGTTGCCCATTTTTCTTATCAAAGAAAGCTCTTGTAGTATGTCATTGGTGTAGTAACCACCTTAGGGGAAGTATTATTCCCACTCACTTGCTCCTGTCATATCTAGTTTGATGTAATCAGATTAGGGCTGGGCGATATGGCCTAAAATTAATATCACGATATATTGAGGATTTCACCTTGATAACGATAAACGGATGATAACTACAGGTATACGCAGACACAAAAGTTGTCCACCAGATGGGGCTGTCACATGTATAGCGTTGAGTCACATTTCTACATGACACAAGGTGGTACAGCTTCTTAAAAGGCCATGAATGCTGCCAACCTACACACATCTTTTCATTTTTTTTATTATCAAATTTATTGACATGGGGAAAATTATCACGATAAGAGTCAGAAATTTCGATAACGATACATTTTCGATTTATTGTCCAGCCCTATCTCAGATGTACTTTGTTGTTATTGTCATGGTTACTGTACAGCATAAGCATATATCTTTTTACAAATTTCTTTTGTCTTAGCCAATTTTGTAATCTCTACTTTGATCTATACTGATGTATGGTAGAACCGATGTTGTTCCCTAAAAAGCATATAAAGTAACATTTAAGGTTTGGTAACCTGCGTCATTAGGTCGAATAATAGTTTGACGATTTGTTTTTTTGAATGTCGACCTTAAGTCAATTCAATTTCCATGTATGACAAAGACGTGGGGGTGGGGGTGGGGGGTGTATGGGATAAATAATGGGCGAACACTAACAAATGATATTTAACCATAGAATTTCCATTTCTTTCTTTGAAAACATGACATTTCCCCTTTCCATTGATTATATTTACAACAGATCTCCTGCATCTTGTCAAGTCAAATGTTTGTCTTTTCCTAATTGGTCAATTAACTTCATTGATTAACTGGAAGGTGTACAATATAGAAAGGTTATGTCTTTGTGTGTATATGTTTGGCTGTGAAGTGGAACCCAATACCCAACCAACATGGTTTATAATGGGCCTCTGTGTGTCGAGTTCTTTCAGGCTGCTTTCTGTCCTACAACACCATCCAGCCCAATATTTGCCCTTGAAACAGCTCCAGCTCAAATGACTTGTATCTTCTCCTCTGCAGGCTGTTATCAAACTCCTACATAAAGCTTCCTCCTCTTAAATCTGTAATAGAATCAAAGCAAAATTGGAGAAGGTGACTGCACCTTCAGATTCAGGTTCCAGGTTACGAATTGTTAAAAACCTTTGCTCTAAATGCACACGAGCCCGAGGCGTGCATGTTGTGTAACATTTATGTTGTACTCAGCAGCAGAAAACCAGCCCATTAAACCAACAGCAGTTTTCAGATATGGATGGAAGATTGCTGTTTGGAAGCAACGTAGTGTCAAAGAGATTATCTGGTGCATTTCAGTGTGGCTCATCCCAGTTTGGACAGAGCACTAAAGCTGCTGTTTAGAGAAAAAAAGTGCAACTGCACTAAGTCGTGTAAGAAATGTGTGTATTTTAAACCATTTACTTTTCTTATTAGTTATTTCATTAAAAGCAAACACTTGAGCAGGATGTCTGTTGCTGTGGAGAAAGCAAAAACAACGAAGATTAACCTGCCAGGAATTTCAAACGCCCATCTGGCACATCTATAGCTATTGTCCTGGGCATATCATCGCTTGCTGCCAGATGGTTTGGTAGACAAAACGTAGAAAGGAGATATATAAATATAAAGGAAATGACACCAGACTGGCAGAATGAGAGAAATAACAGTATTTACCCTGCATCGCCATTCCTTCGGTTAAGAGATTAACGCAGAGGAAAACAAAAAGAGAAAAACATTGTTCAACGACTAACCCCAACCCTCATGAAAACCTCTCTGTGAGGACCAATTTAACATACCCAGTTATTCACAAATAAGCCCACGAATAACTACCACTATATAAAGCTGACTATAGTTTGAGTTACATCAATAAAAGGCATGCTATGCATGTATTCAGACATTTATGTTCCACTGTGGCTCTAAACATAAATCCATAAGTGGCATGCAATAAAATGCTGTCATTAAAAAAATGGAATCATACTAAGTGTTTTTATTAAGTACATTTAAATCTCAAGTTTACTCCCATTTTTATTACACTTGTAAGTCGTACTTTGGGGAAAAAGCTCCGCTGTGTCTGTTTGAGGATGTAAAGGTCAGCTGGAGGAGAAAGAAATGATATTTTTAGAAGTGACACCACCAGCACACTAACCAAAGGGAGTAAATTTAGCTAATGAGACCTTAATGATTCATGGGAATAATTTACTGACTTGTTTTGGATAGATAGAATCATGTTTGGAAGCCATGGTGGTCTCACAGTTTGTGGTAGTTTCACATTTAACTATGCAACAGCCTCATCTATTGTAGAAAACAGTCTATGGTCCCTAGCTGGTAAAGTTTTGGCCAGAAAACTAGATAGCTTGAACTTTTGATCCATTTGGTTCAACAAATTACCAGTCCGGTCTAATCAGCCTCATCTGCAAAAAGTCATTCATTTTAAGTTACTGACTATTTTATTGTGGCAAGTTGATTTTTTTCATCTCAGACTATCGGTAAAGACTAGGGGTGGGAATTTAACACATAAATTATGATTAATAATTAGAAAAAATAACATGTTATTTGAACTCGAGCACCCCCCAAATAGGAGCTGGGCATGTCTAGCATCACAATTTATGTCATATAAATCAATAAACATCATCGAGCTCCACATCTAACAAGACTGCAGAGCCTGGGCTACAAGACCATATAAACCTTTATTATGTGGGCCAAACACACTTAAAACTACAATCAAATGAATCATGAAAAATCACTTCATTAAGAAAAGTAAGAAAGAACAAAAAGATCAAATTTTTCATTGTTTTGTTTTTTATTCGGTAGAAGGCAGGCAGGCAGTAACTTGCCTCTGCCAGTTTGCCCCAGGGCCGCTGTAGCTGCAATGTAGTTAATCACCAGTGTGTGAATGTGTGTGTGAATGGATGAATTATACACTAGTGTAAAGCACTTTGGAGTCCTCTGACTATAAAAGGCACTATACAAGTGTGGGTAACCCTCAGCAAAACTTCCCCTGAGCTCTACACTACACCTCCATACATTAGGAGTGCTCTGCTGCCACCTAGTGTTCAGTTCATTACACATCTACAATGTTCCATGTCCATTTACACTTCATCAATAACACGTGTAATAATATTTACACATCCCAACAAATCCCACAACGGTTACCTTTATTATACCGAAGTAATCAAATAGACCTTGTGGTCACATAAATATATTCATTAAAGTGTGTTTATGTCATCTGTGCTTCACTATCATTATTTTTAATTTATAAAAATTGATTGGGCGCAAATTTTCTTGAACAAATAAAATGCCATTGATTAATTACAAAGCCTCAAATTAATTAGATAAATTTTTTAATCGAGTCCCACCCCTAGTAAAAACATAATGCCAGTGATCAGATCAATAACACTTATCAGGTTTTTCAACTACAAGTGTGGAATCTTAATTAGTCACAAAAACAGCATTTTACACTAAACTGTATATGAAACTGTATACAATTGTTGTCCTTTTTTGGTATTTATTTCTATAATAATAAAAAAAAAATCAGGTATTTGTCTTTGTGTGCATATTCAATCAATTCAAAAAATCAATTGAATATTATCTCTATCATGTGAAATGTATTTTCTTGCTTTTCCAAGCTTCATTCCGTTCCTTATTTTCATAAAGGTGAGGCTATCTGGGGAAATTTCCTCAGTAGTTGTATGATTATGCGCACATACATTATTGTGCCCCGGTGTACTCTCAGCAGGGTGAGATATACACAGCTGAGTGTACACGCTTTAATTCTCTCTAATACTGCTGCCGTTAGAGGAAAAGTTGAGGTCAAATTGTGTTCATTGTAGACGGCAGATATTTGTTAGGAGCAATTTCTCTTAAATTCCCATATACCATGAAGGTTGTGAATAATAAGGATGCATTTATGCAGCAAAGTGTTTAAGTCATTTGGGTTGCATTGAAGTGGAGTTGATTTTTCTTGTGTTCACTCCCTCAGCTAAAAGCTGGAGAGACGGCGGCAGTCATTGCCCGTGAGCTGGCAGAGCAAACCAAAAGTAACCTCCAGGCAGGTGACATCACGTATACAGTGAAGGCCATGATTCAGCTGGTGGATCTGCTGGATGTGCAGCTGAGGAATCTCACGCCAGGTGGCAAAGACAGTGCAGCTCGGAGCCTCAATAAGGTACCAAATCAGCTTCCTTTACACAAAATGTCAACTTTTTCTTTCTTTTCAAATAAATCTCTGAAATAAAGCACAGTTGAGAGAGAGAGAGAAATGATTACTGATGAGTTTCACCTGTTACCAGATTTATATTTAGGTTTACTCAGAACCTTTGAAGTTTCAACTAAAGATGACCGAGGGCTTCTTTGCACCAGGACAAGATCCTTCCACGATCACAACAAATGTGGATAACCACCAAGTTACCCCTAAAAGTTAATCATGATAGTCCTGTGGGTATGCTACTCCTCAAATAGTTTTGCCCTGATTTGACATAGGTGATTCTCTGCTTTCTTGTCATTCTTTAGATCTAAGGTAGCTCCTGACCTACAAAATAACCCTCTTAGTGCCTTGGGACCCCAACCATTGATGGTTTTAGTACACATAAGTTGCAATTTAAACATCTAAAATACTGTTTCCACACAGTTATTACTACCATTGGTATTGTTTTGAGATGGTTATAGGAAAAACATGGTATTAGCCATCATTTCTGCATTTATTTGGATTTGAGATCTTCTCTGGACTACACAATTGGTGTTTCAGGAGCCACAATGTGGTTACAACCCCAACTTTGGGAACCACATATAAGCAGGCAGTTCTTATGCTCTTACTACCGTACAGTGTTGAGAAAGGTTGTTCAAAAAATGAATTAGTTCAAAGTTCAGTTCATACATTTTAAAATGAACTTGTTCGTTTCTTAGTTCATAATAAAAAAAAATTGAACGAAGTTCATTGTTTCAAAAACGAACTAGTTCATAGTTCTTTTCTCTCATTTATATATATATATATATATATATATATATATATATATATATATATATATATATATATACATATATGTAACGTCCAGCAATGGTCAGTTTTTAGGTACAGTTTGACCATTCAACATCTGGTCAAAAAGGAGACACAAGAATGCATGTGTTCACTTCAAATTGGCCTGCCTTCATCCCATCAGCTGGAGCTCAGAGTCTCTGCAGCTCTGAACACAGATAACGTAATGTAAACAATAACATTCTCTCCTCAAGGTCCAATCTTTCAGGTCTTCATGCCTCCATATAAGGAACACTCCAGCTCAGATCAGTTGCTAAGTCAAAGAATGATTTCCTACACAAATCATAACATGAGAACATCAAGACTGGATCACTCTGGGTGATTCAGCAGATCTAGAGAAAGCTTCAGACAGACCATCTGAAGCAACCCTCTTTAACCATCAAGGCTTTTGACACGTCGTCAAAATCTTTTTGCACCTGCAAAGCTGATACCGCACAGTTCCTGCAGAACAAGCTGATATTTTTTAGACTCCTTAAGACTCCCAGACGTGCGGTTCCATCCGTCTGTCGTGACCCGAGACATCTCTGGACTGAAGCGTCGGTGCCACGGTATTCTACAGCCCTTCAGTGCCAGAGGTCAGCCGACCTCCCTGACCTTCGGAACCACCAAGAGGGTTTCCGAGAACGGGTGAAGTAGACATGACAGATTGCGTCTGATTTGTTTGATAACAACCAACTTCATAGCTTAACGCAAACCAAATTCTTTTACATCCAGAACTCAGATCTCCTAGATAAGGTAGTTCGTACTAACATCACATTGACACAAAGGTTCATACATCACATTTAGTTCCATCCATCACAGTAAATGCTTAGTTAACTTGTCATGTTTTAATTGTTTGTAAAATAAATTCTTACTTTTATAAACCTGACTATTTTCTGAATCAAAACAAAGTATGTACAACCCCCTGATAAAGAAAAATCCTAGATCTTCTGATAAACATATTAAAGACCAAACAGAGTTGAGATTCTATATTTAAATAGAATATCACAGCTTATTGGTCATAAGTAGAGGTAATATATTTCTTGAGCTCTTGAAGCACTCAATTTCCTAAACCACACACACACACACACACACACACACACACACAGACACACACACACACACACACACACACTACAGTAAATTCTCAATAACATGAGGAAAACAATATTTGAACATTTTTATGGGAAATTATTAAACAGTCTTGGGAAGCAGGCTGAGGTAGCAAACTAAACATAATAAAAGTGCAAAACATTAAAAAATTTATAATCTTTCAGTTAAGTCTCTTTTCAATTTTTCTGAATGAACTTTGACTCCTGCACACAGCATAGACGTAGAAGAGTATACGCCGCACCAACCGCTACTGCCTATGTTTGGCCGCTTTTGCGTGTTCTACTTTTTATAAACTCTATGGTTAACAGAATGTTTTAGCTAGGCTTTAGATCTGGAAAAGCTCTGTGGGAATCTGGAGCTAGAACGGCGAAAGAATGCATTCACAAACCCATTCACGCATTCCAGGATGAACGCACTCACTTGTACGTTCGTCAGGCAGAATACGAACGCATCTCATCCCAGGGCCCATCCTGGTACTAATGTCTTGGACCACCTTGAATGCACCAAAGTGCATTTGGATCACACCATATCAGCATGGCTTTGATACTGCACCATAATGGCATAGTAGCCCAGACAACAAGGCAAACTTGAGCAGTACCGCTTTTAATTTTTGACAACTTACCCATGCCAGTATCCACCCCCCCCCCCCCCCCCCCCCCACACACACTCCTATCCATGGAATCCACAACCCATGCAAGATCTTTTTGCTCACTTCATCAGTGAGTCGGAAAAGAGTAGAATGCCTTCCCCTGGTCAGGGTGAAGTCCTGTCCCAAGTGGAGGAAGTATCTTGGGGTCTTGTTCACGTGTGAGGGAAAGCTGGAGCAAAAGATCAATAGGCAGATAGGTGCTGCATCTGCAGTGATGCAGGCATTGTACCGATCTGTTGTGGTGAAAAGAGAGCTGAGCCAGAAGGCGAAAATCTTCATTTACCGGTCGATCTGCGTTCCTACCCTCACCTATGGTCACGAGCTTTGGGTAGTGACCAAAAGAATGAGTTGTGGATAGAAGCGGCTGAAATTAGTTTTCTCCACTGGGTGTCTGGGCTCTCCCTTAGAGATAGGGTGAGAAGCTCAGTCATCCGGGAGGTGCTCGGTGTAGATCTGCTCCTCCACATCGAGAGGGTCCAGTTGAGGTGGCTCAGGCCTTAGATTAGCCTCCCTGGTGGTTTTCAGTCCACTCACAACTGGGAGGAGACCTAAAGGAAGACCCAGGACACGCTAGAGGGACTATGTTTCTCGGCTGGCCAGGGAACACCTTAGGATTCCCCCAGAAGACCTGGCCCATGTGGCTGGAGAGAGGGAAGTCTGGTCCTCTTGGCTTGGGCTGCTGCGCCCTCGACCGACTCAGATTAAGCAAAAGAAAATGGATGGACATGAATGATAAACCATTAGAACCTTGGCATGGAAGTTTTGTTCATGCTCGATAATTAAATAAAATAATAGTTAAAAAAAACAATCTCCATCAAACTCAACGGAGAGTTACCTATGCCTTTAGAAAAAGTTTGAAGACTTTGTGACCTGGTAAGGACACCCACATTTTAACTATTTGTGCCTTACAACAAGACGTAGCATTCATAGCTTAAAGTACCTCACATTCTCCAATGTTCTTTTTGTCCATGCAGTTTAATAGAAAAGTTTCAAAGTTTTGAGCATCTGAACCTCTTGTCTTTTACTATCAGGGCAGTAAATCCAAACAGCGGAAGTGCAGAAATTTTTATGTTGGCTGAACTGGAAGCTAATTAATTTATTCCCCCAATTTATTCACAGCAGAGCACAGAACGAGGCGCTCCAGCAAACGCCAGCTGAAATAATACTTCCTGCCTGCTGAACAGCAAACATCAGTGAAACTCAAAATGTCAGCCGTTAATTCACCGGAGCAGCTTCACTTGTAGACGCACGCTAACACCTGCTCTCAGATAGCCTCTTTTGTTGCTGTTGTTCGGGAGGGGGCACTTTTTATTTAATTGCCATGCCAGACACAGATGTCCCCATTGAGGTTTTAGTGCCAGTTTTCTCCAACAGAGAGAGGTGGCAGTAAAGATGTCTAAACAGCCTCAGACGAAGAGAATGTTGAGTAAGCTCGCGTTGATTTTATGGCTTCTCTTGAAGAAACAAACACTACAAAAAACATTAACAACAAAGGTATTTTGTGGGAGATTGCTATTTGAGTCTTTGGTTTCCAATAAAGTTAAAGAAACGGTGCAATAGAAGAAAAAAAACAGCTGTGTTGAGTGGAATAAAAAAGTAGCTTTTGCAGCCAGAATAATTTATTTAATTTATGGGTCAGTAGTGGCGCAATGATAAATTATTCTCAGCCTGAAGAGATACAGTCCTTTATTGCAGTATAGTGCATGTGTGACATAAAAAGAAAACACGCTGTAGCTTTTTTGTGTTGAGTTTCCATTGCCACTGAGAACTCGTTTCCAGAAGTCACTGGAAATCCTCATTTCTCTGGCAGTCACTGACGATTACCTCTTAACTTCAATCATTTTGCCACAATCTGCAAAGAGCTAAACACATTAAAGATCTTTTCTTTCTTTTCTCAACAAAACAGAGCACTCTGCCAGCAGACAATAAAAGGATTCAGTTGAGTTTCTTTCATTTTCAGGATCAAAGCTTTACCGGCCAATGGTGAAGATGGGACACTTTCCAGAGGAGTGTGCTCCTTTATTAAGAAGTTGCTGCTTATAGAGCTAATCTAATTGGAATCTAGAATGGTAGCAGCCCATCCTCTGGCATTATTGACTTTATTAGACCTCATCAAGAGTTATTTATTCCCCTGGCAGCACCAACCTCACTTCTTTTTAACCTCAGTTTTATGTCATTTTTCAGGTGTGCTGAATTACTGTTGGGATTTTCTCTTATTGAAGGAAGTTTAGATGTTAATGAGCTCTTTAGCGTTCTCACTGGAATTTCTTTAATGGACATTTTCAGCTATTATGGCACTGAATTCATGTTTAAGAGCATTAGAGAAATTCCCCCAGCTTATCCTTTGGTCTCCTTTTATTTTGTTGTTAATTAACATGGGTTAACCTATGTTTTCAAGAAAGCATGTACTCCAAAGTTATTTTGTTTTTACAGTTTATAGTCAAATGCTTACATTTAAATAAAATTAGACTTAAGGAGGAAGAACTAGTTTGAATTGGTTTAGTTGTTTAATTGCAACATTAATATAATACCAGGGCACTCTGGTCAGCTTGTTTGGGCTAATTATTATTTAAAAATAAGTTTGAATTTTATGGAATAACATTTTTGTTTAGAAATGAAAAGGATGGGCAAAAAAAAACAAAACGATTATGACCAGTTTTTTTAAGCACTGTCAGTCTGAATGACAAACAACAAAAATATCTAGCATGACCTCTGCCAAAAACCATACCAGTTACAGAAACTACCAAGGGCTTTTTCTTTAGGCATCAAGCAGTTATTTAAAACCAGGCATATAGGAAAGTTCAGTAGCAGTAAATGAATTATCTGAAGTGCAATTTACTTTCAAATAGAAAAACGTTTCACCTGTTTGCGCAAAGTGGGTGGGACCAAAGCATTATTCTGCAGCCAACCACTAGGGGGTGCATTGATTCCTTGTAGCTTAAACTTACTTAAACACACTAAGGTATGTTGTGTTATGATATTGAAAGGAAAAATATGAAACCAAACTAAAACCAAACTAAACGTTTGCCTTTTGCTTCTGCGTTTAGCATTTCTTCCACTTTTGTGTTTGTACCCCGTAGACAAAGATATCTATGGTTTTCTGTACTTTAAAAGCAGTTGGCAAAATGCTGTAGAAATTCAGAAGGTTCATAAATGGATCTAATAGATGTGTTTTTCTTCTGCTCATTTTATCGAGAATGCATCAGTGCATCCTTCTGTGGACTTGGGACAGCGAAGTATCCCACAATGCTCCAAATGTCAGAGGAGATAGTTCATAACTGTAGTGTTTTATATAAAAGAAAAACAGACATAAATGTGTCCATTATTGTAATAATAATTGTGTGTAACATGTAAAATATATTGTGTATATTTTTTTTGTCTTCAAGACTCTTCACAATCCCTCAAAATGCTAATTAGCTAACCCATCATCAAAATAAAACCAGCATTGCCTTAAATAGTTGTGCTTTGAATGCTAATATTTGATCATTTTTGATCAAACGTAGATAAAAAAATTATACAAATTATTTGTATTTTTTGTAATTTAAAGGAAAAACTAGACATTTTATTTTGATGTCAGGTAGATTTTTTTAACCGTAGCATGAAACGGCACTTGTTGCCCTGACACAGTAGAGTATGGTTCTGTTCCCAATGCCATCCTTGTCCTCCTGTACTCCGTAGAACGGACGTTCTTGTTTATACTAACCAAGATCGTACTTGTCAAGCACACAAGAACGTACTATTGTCCTTGGGTATTGAGAAACGGCTCTTTGCTGTTTTTAGCGTGCCTTTGTTAAAGCACTAACAGTGCCACGGGCAGGCCTGGCATCGTCACATTAACGTTTTCAAAATGTGGTTTTAGATGAAGACATTTCTGAAAACAGCCATAAGAGCCTTATAACTTATTCTTAAAATGTATGTCTGGGGATTAGATTAAGATTATTACTTTACAAAGAACTGTAGCCAAAACCATAGTTAATACATCCAACTAATGAGATCGTTTACATTTTTTTTAACTGATTTGTGTTAATCAACCCACAAAAACATGATGATTAAATATTATATTCCACTACACATGTAATTAGCAGCAACAGTATTGTTATAATGTGTTGAGGGATGTCTTTGAGCTTTTAGTTCAATCGACTTTAGACTGTCACACCGGTGTCTCTAAAAATCCCACAGTTGTCTGAAAAACAACCAAGCCATCAAGTCCAAACAACTCTTTGTAATCCTCGGTGGTAAAACTGCGGTGAAGCATGGATCAGGGCGAAGCTATAAACCATTTCTAAACCTCTGAGCACTCCCAGGAGCACAATGACCTCAGTGATTGTGAAATGCAATAAGTGTGAAAACACCAGGACTCCTCTTCAGGTCCGATAAAGCTGAGCAAAGTGGTCGCTCTAACAGAGCTTCAGAAATCTGCAGAGAAGTGAGCCACAAAGATCAGAGCAATAAATCTGTCGGACGGCGAAAGCAGCTCCAAGTTCTGAGCGACATGCAAGAGCCAACCTAAGCTTGTTCAAACACTCTGACCATGAAGAAAACAATTACCTAATCTTACATGTTTTAAGTTTGTCTCAACTTCTAGTTGGATTTACTAAATATGTGGCACACACAGAGGTGTTGGAGCAAAGAACATTCATCACAGGTCTCTAAATTGAACCCCTCAGATTTACTTTTTAGATTTACTTCACCATTATCCAAATCTGTCACTTCCAGACTGGATTTACTGATAAACATGCAAAAAAACAAAAACAAAAAAAAAACTATTTTACAATAAATCCTTAACATCCAAAGTCTTCCAAATGTGACTGGGGTGTAAGCTGTGTGTGTCGCGGACCTCTTGCTAACTCTTTCTACCTTCTTCTTTGGATTGCAGCTGCAGAAGAGAGAACGTTCGTGCCGATTTTACGTTCAGGTATTTGGAAGAAATGTTTTCCCTCAAGTGCTTGCTTCATTACCTCATCGTGGCTACTGTGCTGTCATTATTATCATTCATGTTATTTTCACCCTGGATTTTGATGTTTGGCCTTTTGAAATGGCACATATCTGATGCTCAACTTGACAGTTTTGCATTCGGTAAGGCCTAAATCAAAGGGTCAAATTCCTTTGTCATCGTTTTAGTATTCTGCACATCATTCCATTGCTTCTGCCTGCTTGTGATTGTCACAACAGTCCCTTTCTTCATCTGAGAGTTTGTCAAACGCCGTCAGACTTGTAATGCATGCTGAAGAGAGAGAAGTGACCTCAGCGTGTCAACTTCTAACGACTAAGTCAACCAAATGGCAGGTTATACTTCTCAGTGATGCATAATATATGCATGTCCTAATTTACAGGGTGGGTTTTCAAGCCTTTCTCTGCCATTTCTTACTCCACGGAGTGATTTTCTCATCCCATGGGTGACATTTAAGTTGTCATCAGAATAACTTCTGCCTTGACAAGAGAACTGCAGAAAAAGTTGATGTCCCTGTCTCCCATACAGATGGCTTGAATTAAGATGCACATAAGAGCCAGATGTTGGTTTATACGTGCACTCGTGTTAAGCAACATGTATTCAGCTTTTATTCCTTGGAGGCATGTCAGAAGGCAGTTTGTTATTTATACTCAAGAGGGTGTGCAATGACATGCAGGTGCCATGTAGGGATTGTGTGTGGCTGAGTGTGTGTAGATGGGTTTGTGAGCGGAAGGTGGTGTAAGGCCAGGCTTGGTGGTTTAAGCGTTTCTAAACAAATGCAAATTGTTGGAAATAGAAGCAACTCTTGTTAGTTTTCATTTTGATTGATTAATCAAATTAAAATGCATTATTTTACTCATAATTGTCCACGCCAGTGTGAAAATGGATTTATTTTATTACATTTCATTATAGTAAACAGATAAATTGTTTGTTTTGTTGTTGTAAATTGTTGTTTTGTGGGGTTTCCTTTTGAGCACCAAAAACAAGTAACCTTTAACAGCAAACCACAATTATGAAAAACTTTTGAATTAATGGATTTGAAAGATTTATTGTCCCGTTCAAACATAATAATATGGAAGGAAACAAAGACTCTACATCCAATATCAATATAATGAAAGTTATAAGTGATCTTGATGTTCTCAAATAAAAACAAAGCAATGTTAATTACATTTATGAATATACTAATTTGGATAAACAAAACTATGCCTCCATGACCTTTGTAACAGAGTACAACAAAGAGAGAACAGATTAGAAGTGCTCTAAAATTTAGTTAGCATTTGCACTGGCCGAACAGCAGGACTGTAAGTGCCTTATATTTTACTGAAATTTCGAGTTGCATACCCACATTCCTAAGGGATCAAATTTACAATAGAAACTCAATGGGAAAACTAGTTTCACTAGTATAGTCATGCAACAATCAAGTAGGTCTCACTTTTCCCTGAAGATGGAAATCTCTTCTGTGTGTAAGAGAGCATTAGCATTAGCCACAGAAAACTACAACAGCACATCTAGGATTTGGTTCCTGCATTTATAAATAATAATGAGTGGCCACCAAAAGGTCAAGACAGAGATCCAGTGGACTATTATGTATGGAAGTCACCTAAGTGACAACATCAATGACAAAAATTCACAGAAAAATAAAACATATTTAATAAAAAAAAAAATGTAGTAGACAAAGTTCAAGATTTAGTAATTTACAGTAACACAAATAAAAGATTGTAAGACTTTACTTTGGGTTTATTTGCAAGTAAGGTGATGTTGTGTACAATGGTAGACAGGTGAAACTTGAGAAAATAGAGTATGGTACAATAGTTCATTTATGTCACTAATTCAACTTAGAAAGTGAAACTTATACATGAGATACAATCATTCCATGCAAAGCCAGATGTTTCAGCCTTTATATGTTAGAACTGTGATGATTATGGCTTACAGCTTTTGAAAACCCCACATTCATAATCTCAGATCATTAGAATATTGTGAAAAGGTTCAATATTGTAGATTCAAAGTGTCTCACTCTAATCAGCTAATTAATCCAGAACACCTGCAAAGGGTTCCTGGGCCTTTAGGTGATCTCTCAGTCTAAGCTGGATATAAGTATACTTTAGTACCTTATTCCCATGGTTCAAGTTTCACTCATTGTTGATGCACAGCTGTCTATCAATATAGCATCTCAATCTGACAAAAATGTATACAATTATATAATGGTGTTTAAAATGCTAAGATTTCTCCACTGATACCAGTAATGCATTATTTTTGAAGTGTTACTCTAATCTGATTATTTTTAAGAAAGTCACCTATTAGGTTAAAAATTTTAATATGTTTATTATTATTTTCATAGATTACTTTTTAAAAGTAATCGTGGTAACACTAATACATTTTTATTTGGAGTTGGTGTACGTCACTGTACATTATGTCTCTGTGCATTATGTTATCGTGCGTTACGTAGCCGTATATTGCTTTGCTGTACATTACATTTCTGTGCTTTACATTGCTGTACATTATGTTGCTATGAGTTACATTTCAGTACCTTATGTTGCTTTACGTTACATTGCTGTGCATTACATAGTAGTACGTTACATTGCTGTGCATTACATAGTAGTATGTTACATTGCTATGCATTACATAGTAGTAAGTTACATTGCTATGCATTACATAGTAGTACGTTACATTGCTGTGCATTACATAGTAGTACGTTACATTGCTGTGCATTACATAGTAGTACGTTACATTGCTGTGCATTACATAGTAGTACGTTACATTGCTGTGCATTACATAGTAGTACGTTACATTGCTGTGCATTACATAGTAGTACGTTACATTGCTGTGCATTACATAGTAGTACGTTACATTGCTGTGCATTACATAGTAGTACGTTAAATTGCTGTGCATTACATAGTAGTACGTTACATTGCTATGCATTACATAGTAGTACGTTACATTGCTGTGCATTACATAGTAGTACGTTACATTGCTGTGCATTACATAGTAGTACGTTACATTGCTATGCATTACATAGTAGTACGTTACATTGCTATGCATCACATAGTAGTACGTTACATAGCTATGCATTACATAGTAGTACGTTACATTGCTGTGCATTACATAGTAGTACGTTACATTGCTGTGCATTACATAGTAGTACGTTACATTGCTGTGCATTACATAGTAGTACGTTACATAGCTATGCATTACATAGTAGTACGTTACATTGCTGTGCATTACATAGTAGTACGTTACATAGCTGTGCATTACATAGTAGTACGTTACATTGCTGTGCATTACATAGTAGTACGTTACATTGCTGTGCATTACATAGTAGTACGTTACATTGCTGTGCATTACATAGTAGTACGTTACATTGCTGTGCATTACATAGTAGTGCGTTACATTGCTGTGCATTACATAGTAGTGCGTTACATTGCTGTGCATTACATAGTAGTACGTTACATTGCTGTGCATTACATAGTAGTACGTTACATTGCTGTGCATTACATAGTAGTACGTTACATTGCTGTGCATTACATAGTAGTACGTTACATTGCTGTGCATTACATAGTAGTACGTTACATTGCTGTGCATTACATAGTAGTACGTTACATTGCTGTGCATTACATAGTAGTACGTTACATTGCTGTGCATTACATAGTAGTACGTTACATTGCTGTGCATTACATAGTAGTACGTTACATTGCTGTGCATTACATAGTAGTACGTTACATTGCTGTGCATTACATAGTAGTACGTTACATTGCTGTGCATTACATAGTAGTATGTTACATAGCTATGCATTACATAGTAGTACGTTACATTGCTATGCATTACATAGTAGTGCGTTACATTGCTGTGCATTACATAGTAGTATGTTACATAGCTATGCATTACATAGTAGTACGTTACATTGCTGTGCATTACATAGTAGTACGTTACATTGCTGTGCATTACATAGTAGTACGTTACATTGCTGTGCATTACATAGTAGTACGTTACATTGCTGTGCATTACATAGTAGTGTGTTACATTGCTATGCATTACATAGTAGTACGTTACATTGCTGTGCATTACATAGTAGTACGTTACATTGCTGTGCATTACATAGTAGTACGTTACATTGCTATGCATTACATAGTAGTACGTTACATTGCTGTGCATTACATAGTAGTACGTTACATTGCTATGCATTACATAGTAGTATGTTACATAGCTATGCATTACATAGTAGTACGTTACATTGCTATGCATTACATAGTAGTGCGTTACATTGCTATGCATCACATAGTAGTGCGTTACATTGCTATGCATTACATAGTAGTACGTTACATTGCTATGCATTACATAGTAGTATGTTACATTGCTATGCATTACATAGTAGTATGTTACATTGCTGTGCGTTACATTGCTTTACATTACGTTGCTGTGCATAACATTGCTGTGCGTTATGTAGCTTTACATCACGTTGCCGTGAGTTACGTTGCTTTACGTCACATTGCTTTACGTCACATTGCTGTGCATTACGTTGCTGTGCGTTACATTGCTGTGCGTTACATTGCTGTGCGTTATGTAGCAGAAAGCCCTGGTGGGACTAGCTTTTACTTGGTCAATCAGGTCAGGGTTTATTTCATTTTTCTAAACTTAAGTTGCTCAAACAGCTATAAAAAGTTTAAATATTTTTGACATTTCCACAGAACCCTACTTCAAAGAATTGAACTAAGCCTAAAAAGTGTTTTAAGTAGGTCAACATGACCCTTTGGGAAAAGAAACTTTGCCCATGTGTAGTCTTTAAAATTCATTACTGTTGTTCTTTAGTTTTCAACTTTGTTTTACTAAATCCCTTCAAAAATGTCCTCATTAAATGTCATCTCCTTCTACACAGTAGATATATAAAATATGTAGGTATTTTGATCATGTTGTTTTTGTAGCAAAGCCAAAGAAGCCAGAGGTATTTCACTCAATATTTTCTCCTTTCT